CTGTCTTCCTGCTGTCTTCATCTATATCATATGGCGTCTAGGGTCCAACTGAAGTCTCCGCCCTCTGGGGGCTCCTCTTGCAGTGTTGTTCCTAGTCTGGTTGCTCCCGATGATGTGTCCCCTGCGCTGTGCCACTGCTGCATGGCGGGATGTGTTCAGCCCGAGCATGTCTCTCATGCGTCATGCCACTGTTGCGCAACAGGACATCGTTATGTTGCTTCTGTTGTCCTCTTGCCTTGCCACTGTTGCATGGTGGCTCGTCCCTATGCGGGTGATGGCCAATTTCTTCTGGGGTTTGCAATTTTCCAGTGTCAAATCCTTCGTTTTCTGGCGGCAGCGCTCTGCGGCCAGTTTTTGGTCCATACACTTTTTCTTCTTCACTTCTCCAACCGGCATTACTTCGGCGTCTATTTTGGGGACATCTTCTATCTGTGCCACCTCAGGTTTCCTGTCCAGTGAGGTTGGCTTCTTCTCATCTCGACGTGCCTCCATCATCTCTTGGCAGGCCATCGTCTCATTGCGGTTGTCGTTCACCCATTTGTCTCTCTGGCGGCCATCCCTTCTCACCATGCTTTCATATCGGCCTCCCTTTCTTCCTTCTCAGCTTTTCTATCAGCATCCATCCTGGCCAGCAATTCTTCTTGGGTGGCTTTACGTATATATTGTGTATATATATATATATACATATATAAGACATGCTGAATACCATGCAGATGAGGAAGCAAAATAAATGTAATGGTCAGTTTCTTCATTCCAATCATAAGCTTTTCACGTAATCACTACATATCGGTATCATAATGGTATAATAATAATAACAAAATTAAATCCAGGGTAGTAATTTTAAGCGACAGTCATTTAAAAGGATGCACCAATAGAATAAATAATTATTTAAGTGATATGGTTGGATCAAAGCATGAGTGTTAGCCAAAGAAATATTAGACAAACTAACAGCAGACTTCCATAAGCTAATTACTTCTATTTGGAATAAGGAAGATTTGCCTGATCAGTGGAAGGAATCTATTATTGTACCAGTTCACAAGAAGGGTGATAAAACTGACTGTAGTAATTATCGGGGGATATTACTGCTATCAACTTCATACAACATTTTATCCAATATCTTTTCTCAAGGTTAAGTAAATATATAGATAAAATTATTGGGGATCATCAGTGTGGGTTTTGATGTAACACATCAACTACAGATCAGAACTTTTGAATTCGTCAGATATTGGAGAAAAAATGGGACTACAATGAGATAGTACATCAGCTATTTGTAGACTTCAAGAAAGCCTATAATTCAGTTAGGAGGGAAGTATTGTACAATATTCTGATAGAGTTTGGGATTCCCATGAAACTAGTTAAGCTGATTACAATGTGTTTAAACAAAACTTACATTACAGAGAATCTAGAAGGACAAAAAACAAAGACAAAATGGGAAACATTCACATATATAGGAAAAGAAACATGAAATATTGCAAAAATATTTCGAGACACAAAATTAAAAATGGCATTTAGAACTGAGAACAATTTACAACACGTATTGAAATCAAAACCACAAATAAATAAATATAACAAAAGTGGTATCTATAGAATGAAATGCCTAGATTGCCCCATGGAATATATACGACAAACTGGGAGGGAATTTAACACCAGATATAAAGAACACATTCAAGACATAAGACACAGTAAAAGTAATACAGGATACTCGGAACACATATTAGATATGGGATATGCATACGGTACAATAGAAAATACGATGGACATCATAGCAATGAATAAAAAAGGACAATATTTAAACACATTGGAAAACTACTATATATACAGAACAACAAAGAAAAACATGTATATGAATAACATAAATAAAGAAATATATAACCCAATATTTCATGAATTACACACAATTTACACAGAACAACACAACACAACCCCACCACCTACCCCCACAACACCATAACTCGATCAATAATATAAGAGAACGAAAACAGCACACACACACACACACACACACACATCCAACAATAAAACGCATGCAGCCACAAGACTAGAACTCATCATAAGACATAGTGAGTACTAAACAGTATAATATTAACAACACGAAACCAATATAAATCAAAACATAACATTAATATGTAACATTTTTCACGTTGCACATTAGAAATATAAGAAGAACGACCCCCCATGTCGATGACGAATAATACACGCAAATTTAAAAATATGATGTATGAGATAATAGGTTTTAACAAGTTTTAAATACATAAACTTTATTATTATATAAGGACATATACAAATTTAATACTATTTGTAAATGGACATATAAAGGCAAGCAGTGAAATGGTTGACGGATCGATACACCTGAAGATGGCAGCATACTGCTGAAACATGTAGTGTAGAAGTGGTAGATGGGATTGTGCTCACTTGAAGACTGTTAATATATGCACATTATGAATAACAATTAAGTCATTGTATGCTTCAAATTATGTTTCAGCTTGGGAATCAGTTAAATATGGAGTGCCCCAAGCTTCAATTCTTGGACCCTTATAGTTTTTATTTTATATAAATGATCTACCTGAGAATAAAAGGCAAAGCCTTACCGATACTTTTTGCAGATAATGCTAGCTTTATAATATCAAATTCTGATCCAGTGAAGATGGATCAAGATGTTAAAGTAGTTCTGGAGATTACACAGAAATGGTTTAACTCAAACAGAATGCTGTTAATTATAATAAGACTAACTTTATGCAGTTCTATCCAAATATTAGTCATTGGACTTAGATACCATTCAATTCAATACTTATAAAATTAGCTCTACTAACTCCATTAAGTATTTAGGTATGATAATAGAATCCTCATTAACATGGAAAGAACATATTGATTATATAAATTCAAAGTTAAATTCGTTAGGCTACATGGTTCGTTCCCTCAGACCTGTATTAGAATTGAAAATCCTGAAGCACATCTACTTCTCCCATGTTCATTCAGCATTATATTATGGTATCATGTTCTGGGGCAATGCACCACACAGTAGATCTATTTTTGTAACCCAGAAACGAATTGTAAGAATAAACATGAAAGCTAAAGCAAAGGATTAAGTAAGTAAATGTAACAGGCCATGGAGGTCCATACTGTTGTGAGATGTCAAGGTTCCCACATTTTGTAGACAATGGCTCATATGTGGTGGTAAGGTTGTCAGCCTTATGCGCTGGCCACCCTTTACCCCCCAGAATATTCCAAGAATAGTCCTGGTACTCATTTCTGTTAGAGGCTGAGTCAACCCAAGGGCCATAGTGTGGATGGAAGGATTAGGTAAATTGATAAAAATCCAATGACCTCATTGTGATTCGATCCCATGACCTTCAAGTTTGTAGCATAGTCCCTCAACCAACTACGCTACTGCGTGCCCCTAAAGCAGAGGATTACTGTAACGAATGTTTAGTAAACTTGGAATTTTAACATTTTTTCAACTCTTATATTTGTTGTAATCCAATCTAGAAAATCAAAATTAATGGCTGTGGGGATTTGTTGCACTGACCATGCGACACCCTCTTTCTGCAAAAGTTGGCACTAACTTCGCCAACAAGCAGTAATCGCTCAGTCGGTATAGTTCGCTTGCAGACTAAATCCATGGAGTTTATGTTTGTTGTAAAGCATAAGGATTTAGTCACAATAAATACTGAATTACATAATATAAATACTTTCAAATACTTCAAATACTTTCATGTTCCATTAGTAAGTCTAACTAAAGTTGAAAAAGGATTGAGAAAGTTTCTTATAGAAGACTCTTTCTATTTTGTTGAAGAGTATCTTGATGGAAATAATAAATTTGATCTTAGGGTATCCCAGTGATTATACCTTTGTATTTTAGTTTTCATTCATTGGGTTTTATATTTATTTTAATTGTTATTTATCTTATGTTAAGACAGTCTTATGTAATATATCAATTTAATCTACTGACAATTTCTATATCCAATGGCTATGTACCTTAATGGATCAATGAATGATAATAGAAATAAATAAATAAAACAGAAAACTGTCTTAAGTGTAGAATTGTTCTTCCAGTGAAGTGTAAAATTAAAGGGGTAAGAATGAATGTATGTACTAGCATAATTTTCTATTCTCTATATTTTTTAAGTCTACAGATGGGGAAATCCCATGTGAAGGTAAACACAGAGACCTGGTCCTCCAGTCTGGGGGCTGGATGCAAGGCTGATGACCTTGCTATGGAAAAAATTAATGTTGCAAATCAAAGAAGTGAAAACTTGATGCACTAAACTTATAAGGAAGGCAATGGCTGAAAAGGGCTGTTTGGCAATGATGGTGATAACAAATGGGGAGGTGAGTATGTTTTATGTAAAGTAAGAAACAAGCCAGCTGCAATGTTAATGTATAACACCAAAACCAAAATTTGATACTGACAGCAACCACAGGTAGATTTGCATGTTTAGCAAAATTCCCCAACTGTAATGACAAGAATACAGCAGTAAAATTTCAACATCAAATCAAGAAAAAATCTCAATCTTAATTTGAGAGATGGGTTTTGAGACTTAAAACACTGAGAATGTTCAGATAACTGAATGCATTTTGTGCAGCAGTATCATGAAACCTACCTGATCCACAGAACCACGTCTGGCAAAACCAGCATGAATTTACATGTTAACAAAATTCATCTCCCCCCCCTTTCTGCCCACACTGTATATTTCTCTATGTACAGAGTGTCAGCATCTGATGTAAACAGGGATAAGAGTACACTTTACTGCAGTGGAATATGTCATAAATTGTGAACACAGTGAAACAACTGATCCAAAAGATAAAAATTTTCATTCTCATCTTGATTCTCGACGAATTTCCAAATACTCATCCTGACCTTGCCTCAAATCATCTTCGCACATGCCTAAAACAGAGGAGTGATTCAGAGAACAGCATAAAGAAGTGGGTTCTGTCACACAATGTGCAAAACACTGAGCCAGATTCAAACACAATACAATGAGAGCACAGCATGCACCCACCGTGTGAAGTCCCACTTGGTGAGTACCTTCCCTGGGATAAGTGCAAGCTGATTTGTATGGCAGCCAGTACAGAAGTATCGGCCAAGATATTCACAGTAACGAAATCTGTTGGCATATTCTGGAGCCACCTTCATTCCACAACCTGCACACCTGTAATTCTGCTTCACCATCAAAACCCTGCGGCTGCAAAACACAGAATTACAGGCCCATCATGGTTCAAAACAGGTATGTTGTTTTTAGTAAAACAGCACAGAAGCACACAAACCAAATAACAGAAGAAATGTGTACTCCAGATTTCCAAATGTATGTCTCAGGTTCTGAACAGCTCATTGGTCTTATCTCAAACTCAGATCTAATGTACATGTATAATACCATGCATATAGTGCATAAACAAAATCACATAAAGACAAATTACCTTCCTGGAATTTCATTAAACATATGCCACCTCTATAAACACATTTTAGAAAAGTTATTCACCTTAATGAGATACATATTTTATGTCACTTATGGTTAGCCAGTTTTCAGAACAGAGAGCTGTGTTACCTCAATACTGACCAAAATTAAAGCTGTTCAACAAACTTTACCACAAATAGGATCTAAAAGTTCATGATAATGATGGATTAATACAATTACTGACTCACTGAATAGTACTGGAGATGAAATATATGGATGGGTGGAGAGAGTGACATGACCTACCAATCATGAGTTCGTGCTATGCACTTCACACAAAGAAAATACAACAGCTTTCCTCATAGATATCATAGGCTGAAAGTAGTACATTATTTCTCCTATAACAAGTTTCTTCATCTCTTGACTGATACAGAGAGAAAGTCACCAACCAAATTATTGTACACTATATACAAGCAACAATTCCATTTGCCACTAGAAAATTATGCTGGCAATCAATCTCTGATTAAACTCATTTTCTTCGCTACTAATTCCCACACAAATGGTTGCTGCAATATGTTGGTAATACTAATATACGCATGTTGTTTCTGTTGTATATGTTGGTAATACTTATATACGCATGTCGTACAATCTGACCACATGGCTGTCCCAGTATGGTTCCAGGCAGTGTGGTGGTAAGTTGGTTTTTCGTATGCGCACGTGCACGCTAGTGCGTATACCAGATGATATTACTGGATGTAAAAGTGGATGTGTGTGGATCAAGAAATAAAAACTACAGAAAATAAACGAAAGGTTTTACAACAGGTTATGGGCCCAGGACTCTTCCACTGCGCGTAGTATATAATTAACTGAAGAGTTGTGGATATTTTTGAGTATTATCAAAGATGTCGAATCCAACTGCAACCTTGCCACCGATTGAAAAGCTGGACGGTCGTTTAAATTATTCTGATTGGAAATTCGGAATGATGCTTTATCTCAAAGACTTGGGCATTTGGAACAGTGTAAATGGATACCCTACAGGAGATACTACGACCGAAACACAGAAGACCCAGCATGATGCAACGGCCCTAATAAAGATTGGCCTCATGGTCAAGCCCACTTGTTATCCTATCATTCGTGATGCAGAAACAGCCAAATCTGCGTGGGAAAAGCTTTCTGTAGCTTTTGAGGATGATGGCCTGAATCGAAGATGTCAGTTATTGCGCAAACTGGGACAATTGAGGTTAGAACAGTTTAAAAACTTGACTGAGTATACTCATGCTTTTGTGGACATTGCTGATAAGATGCGGTCAATGAAGGAACCTCTTGATGACGAATTCGTAGTGGCAATGATGTTGGCAAATTTGCCTGATAGGTTTGAACCAATGAGACAAACCTATGATAATTGTGGTATAACAATTTCTACTGACTTGATTTCCAGAAAATTGCAAGAGTATGATGACACGAACTTACATAGTAAAGAAGATGTGGCTCTTCTGTCTCATGGAAAGGAAAGGTTTCCAAGAAAACCTAAGTGTTGGTTGTGTGGTGAAATTGGCCATGTACGGATGGACTGCCCCAAGAAAGTGCAGAATTCCTCGAAACAGGGAACTAAGAAGAGTTTTTCAAAGCAAGAAGACAAGATGTCAGCTAAGAAAGAGAAGACATCTCGTCGCGAGAATTCCTACTTCGCAGCACTGACATTGGAGACCAATGATGATTCTAGTTGGTATGTCGACTCAGGGGCTACTTCTCATTTGACATCTCGACTGGATTGGTTTAAGAAAGAGAAGGAGATGACTGGAGTAGAAGTGTTCACTACGGGAACAAATAAATTAGAATGTCTAGGATCTGGCTCTGTTCGGGTAAAGTTTAAGAATGATGACTCTATTTCAAATATTAGTAGTGTACTGTATGTTCCAGAAGCCAGAACAAACTTGTTGTCAGTGAGTAAATTGGTTGATAAAGGACATGTTGTTGTGTTTGAGGAATCTGGTTGTAGGATTTATAGTAAACATAATATGTCTATTAAAGGTAATGTTCTAGGTACTGCATCTAAGGTTGGGAATCTGTTCAAAATGGATGTGGAGGAGATGGAACGGGTCAACCTGGCAAAAACTGATAAAGATGAAAATTATCAGCTCTGGCACAAGAGGTTAGGTCATATTAATCCAACCAGTATGAAGATAGCTAAAAATGGAGTATGTGAAGGTATTTGTTTTAATGACACTGTACCGGATACATGTATATCTTGTATAAAAGGCAAGTTTGCAAAGAAACCATTTAGGGCACGTAAGAGTAAAGCAAAAGGATTACTGGACGTAATCCACTCAGATTTATGTGGACCTATGGAAGTTGAGTCCTGGAATGGAGCTAAGTATATTCTTACCTTTACTGATGAATTCTCTAGAAAGGTTTTTGTATATTTCATAAAGTCTAAGAGTGAAGTGTTTACTGTTTTTTGTAATTTCAAGGCTCTTGTTGAGAATCAAGTTGGGAAGACTATTAAAGCCCTACGAACTGATAATGGTGGGGAATATATTTCTAAACATTTCTCTGATTATCTTGAGCAAAATGGGATAGAGCATCATGTGACAGTACCTTATAATCCTCAACAAAATGGATTAGCCGAAAGGGTTAATCGTAGTCTTTGTGAGATGGCCAGATGTCTGATGAGTGAAGCAAAGTGTAATAAGCGAATGTGGGCAGAAGCCATCAATACGGCAACTTACATTAAAAATAGGGTTCCACACAAAGCTTTGATAAATAAGACGCCACAGGAATGCTGGTCTGGGGAAAAGACTAATGTATCCCATTTTAAAGTATTTGGATGTGTGGCATACATGCATGTACCAAAGGAAAATAGGCTTAAATGGGATTCTAAATCGAAGGGGATGTGTTTTGTAGGATACTGTGAGAAGTCTGGAAACTACAGACTGATTGATCTGTCCAACCCTAAATCGGTAACATTTGCACGAGATGTCATTTTCTTGGAAAATGTAAGGGCTAGTGTAGATGAAGAGAATGTAAATGCATCTACTGATTTCATCAAGCCTAGCTATTTTGGGTCTGAGATCTCTGATAGTGGGGATCAACCTGATGCAGAAAAAGTATTAGATGACTCTACTGTAAATCTGAATGAGAGTGATCATACTCCGGTTGCATCTGTATTAAGTGATGCTGAAACTGATGATGTACTTGCAGTTCCTGTACAACAGGTTGAGAATGAACCAGGTACAATGATGAGGGTTAGACGCCCACCATTGTGGTTGCAGGATTATGAAACTAATTTCATGACTGTTGAAAGTTTTGTTGACAACTGTCCAGATTCATATTCAAGTGCTGTTAGAGGACCTGATAAAAATAATTGGAAAAGGGCAATGAAAGAGGAGTATGATGCACTCATTCAGAATAATACATGGAATCTAGTAGAGCTGCCCAAAGGTAAGAAAGCTATCTCATGTAAGTGGGTGTATGTAGTTAAAAAGGACTTACAGAGTGATCCCAAATACAAGGCACGCTTAGTTGCTAGAGGTTTTTCTCAAATTGATGGGATTGACTATAATGAGACTTATTCACCAGTTGTTGGAAGATCTGTAATAAGATTTTTGTTAGCCTTGACTGTTGAGTTAAATTTGAAGATGTATAGTCTTGATATTTGCACAGCCTTCTTGAATGGAGAATTAGAAGAAGAAATATACATGACTCAGCCTGAGGGTTTTACTGTTGAAGGATTGGAAAATAAAGTTTGTCTATTAAACAAAGCTTTGTATGGATTGAAGCAAGCTTCACGTACATGGAATACTACTATTACTAAAGAGTTGGTAACTCTTGGTTATGAAGTTTCTGTTAATGAGCCATGTATGTTTTACAGAAAGATGGATGATTCATTTACTGTTTTAGCATTATATGTTGATGATTTCTTAATTGTAACCAATGATATCTCTGAAAAAGAAAGACTTGTAAAGAAACTAGGATCTAAGTTCAGATTAAAAGATCTTGGAGAAACTAAGTACTTGTTAGGTATGAGAATTAGGAAAAGGAATGGAAGTATTTATGTAGATCAAGAGGAATACATATGCAAGATACTGGAAAAGTTTGCCATGATAAACTGTAAAAATGTATCTACACCTCTTCCTGCTGGTTGTAAGCTAGACAGAAACAATTCTGATAAGTTAAGTGAGATTTTCTCTTATCAAAGTTTGGTTGGCTGCCTCAATTACTTAGCTCTTATAGCAAGACCTGACATTGCTTTTGCAGCCAGTTTCCTAGGTCAATACAATTCTTGTGCCACGGCTGAACATTGGAAATGTGCCAAGCATGTATTGCGTTATCTAAGAAAAACTAAGGACCTGTGTTTGGTGTATTCTAAGACAGGAAAATCCATTGTTGGGTACTCTGACTCAGATTATGCTAATGGAGAAGACAGGAAGTCTTACTCGGGAAACATTTTTGAATTAGCAAATGGACCTATTTCTTGGGAGGCAAAGAAGCAGAAAAGTGTTGCACTTTCTACTACTGAGTCTGAATATATTGCTCTAAGTGAGGCTTGTAAGGAGGGTGTCTTTCTCAGAAAAATGTTGATGGAACTATTAAATGATGACTCTCCAATTTTGATGAATGTTGACAATCAAAGTTGTATCAAGTTAGCCTCAAATCCAGTATTTCATTCCAGATGTAAACACATCAATGTACGATATCATTATGTAAGAGAGGTAGTACAGAATGGATTGATTGATCTTGAATATGTGCCTACAGAAATTATGAAGGCCGATATAATGACGAAGAGTTTACCTAAGGTGAAGCATGAATATTTGCTAGATGCATAGGGCATGAAACCTTTTGATTGTATAAATTGAATTTATGTGCCCATGTAATTGTACCATAATATTTTGGTTATTATTATTATTTAATTTACATGCTATGATTACGGGGGAATGTTGGTAATACTAATATACGCATGTTGTTTCTGTTGTATATGTTGGTAATACTTATATACGCATGTCGTACAATCTGACCACATGGCTGTCCCAGTATGGTTCCAGGCAGTGTGGTGGTAAGTTGGTTTTTCGTATGCACACGTGCACGCTAGTGCGTATACCAGATGATATTACTGGATGTAAAAGTGGAAGTGTGTGGATCAAGAAATAAAAACTACAGAAAATAAACGAAAGGTTTTACAACACAATATCATAAATGTCACAGCTGGCTGAGCAGAACTGATGTTTTGTATCCCAAATGACCCAGCTTCAAATCCTAGCCTCAAAGAGCTACCTTACTTTCTCATTGTTATCAGTCCCTCCAAGCAAATGATAGCAGGCCATGACTACTTCTCTCTACATCACTTCCAACTCAGTATTCTCTAAGCATCCTATCATCACTCTCTGTTATACAATGAGCTACTGAAATAAACAAAGAATGAGTAAAATATATAAACTCTTTCAATCATGCATGCATACATTTCATGAAACATCCTCTTAATTTAGAAGCAATCTTTCAATTCATATTTGCATAAAAATATAAATACTCAAATATTTCCATGACTATGAAACAGTTGTCATTAATACCATAAATGGAGACACAAATTTCAGGCTAGAGCATCTATGACAGTCACCTATGGCACGTGTGTATTAGACCTCTACTGTGACTTCTGATTTCTTGGAAGTGAAAGAAATTCAGATATTTAGCTTCAAATAATTGCTAATAAAAAAAAATAGCATCAGTTATACTTTGTGAAAAGAAAACATAAATTTTATGACAAGTATCAACAAATATGGTTTATTATTTTCTTCTTTTTTCTGAAACAAAGAAAAATACTCCTAATTTTGCAAGATTTGAAGCTTTCATGGCAACTGTATGCACTGAAGTCTTCTCAGGCAATCAGCCATGTGAAAACAGATTTGGTACTCATTTTGGAGAATGCCTCTGCATCAATCCTCAGTAGCTAATATGACGAGTGGCACTTCACACCTCTTCGAGCCTAATGTTCTGTCCAAGCATGCAGCACCAGGAAAAAGCAGACAGAGACCGCAGTCAGTCATCACACAACATCATACTGCTTAAGCTATACAAACTGTCTCCTTTTGTACATGGACAGAGCAAGGAAGACAATGGAAGGAGAGAGCAGTGACAGCACCCTAGACCGTACACATTAAGGAACACAGTCTGGCTGTAACGCCTGACCGCTAGTCTCCTCTTCCATTCCCTGAGTGGTGTGCACATAGGCAACTGGGTTTCCAGAATTGAAGTGTATGAAAACACAGGGCAGCTGAGTCACTCAGCAAATCAATATCTGATAAAGGAGCCACAGAGTCTCCAAAATGTTGGATACCAACTCCATTTCCACATGGCTGATCACGACCTCATTGCATTCCTTATTTTATTAAAATTTTTAATATCCTTTCTTGCTTTCTACAAACAAACAAGTGCAATGATTCAAGGTATGTTCAAGAGCTATACTCACACTGGGGGAGAGTGCGGTGTGAAGATCACCTGTGAGCGGGGTGGAGCCCACTCAGTGGTGCCTCGCAATGGTGTTGCTTGATGCATATCTAAATCTTCAGCTTCATCAGGACTTACTGGCCAACTTGTTGGCAGCGGTAGCAGCTAATGCAACAAATTGACAGTAAATATGGGAACAGCTCTGTAAAGCACCGTACATTGCTACAAGTGAGCAGTGGATATAAAGTGGCAAGATAAAAACATTCTTGTGGGTACTACTGCTTACTTTACAAAAACAAAAATGCTGCTCTTGTCAATTGACAATACATACACATAGTATATGGATAAATACTTCACCCAACATCATTTTATTTTTACAAAATAAGCAAGAAGTAATTAATAAAATATTTATCAAGCACCATAAGCACAAAGAAAATTAAATTATATGTCTCTATCATAGAATCTCTTTTAAAACTACATGCATCACCATTCAGTGGCATCAAATACACAATACTCTCACAATAACTCAAATAATACTGCAGAACAGTGAAACAGTATGAATTCATATTTGTAGCAGCAAGAGGTTACATTATGAAGACATATATAATTCAATTTTGTGTTAACAGCTTTTGATAATTATTTCATTATACATCAGGATGTGCACCATTGTAAAAAAATCTTTCTTAACAATTGCACATACAACTGCTGAAACTCAATCATAATATTGGTATACACAACAGTACCTGTTGAGGTGCATCCTGTTCTGAAACAAGCCATTCTAGGTCTGAAGCCCGAGGCAGGTGTTTCTCACTAAACCGTCGCAGCAGAGAGAGGGCCACTCCTTCTGCTGAAACCACTGACTCTGTCAGAGCGACATCTGTTCCTGTTCGTGGAAGCGGATGTTTTGATAAATCAGCCTCAGAATATAGAGATGCCATTGAAACTGATAATCCTGTGAAACATTTAGAAATATAAAGTGTTTCTCATCACGGAACATAATATTACTGCACATGGATCATAAACCTGTAATTCATTATTTGAACATAAGAGACAAATTTACTTTGTATACATATATCCATCTCAAATGCAACTCATCATCTTGTTCCACAGTATGTTAAAATTACATATCGCATGTGGAAACGTTATTCTTTATTGTAGTCCCAGCTAATCACTGAAATATATTTATCGATCTTGTTGTGCTGTATTCCCTTGTCATCGTGTGGGTACTTTTTGTAATCTGTAATTAATAAGAAGCTAAGAAGGGAACACACATCATAAGACATCGTTTACACAGAAAATAAGAAAAACGACCCCATAGTGAATGAACCACACGCAAGTTTTAATTAAGACACATAAGATAAATAATCTTAACAAGTTTTAGTGAGTGTAAATTTATTATAGTTGACAAATACGCACTTTTTAAATGGTGTTGTGAAGACATATGAGGGCAAGCAATGCAATAGATTAAAGTAATTAGGGCACCTGATGATGGCACTATGTTGCCGAAACATGTCGTGAAGTAACAGGTGAAATTGAGTGCACTACAAGACGGCCACTGTATACATACCATGGATGAAAATCAGTGCAACAGGACACTAAAATACAACATTATGTTGTGTAATATAATATTTTTGTTGTTATTGTTATAAATAGGGCTCGGATTTCTATGACCTAAAAACTTTGAAAATATGCATGCATTTATGCCCTAAAAATGGCAAAATATGACCTAAAATATGACAGAATGGCCCACAAAAAATAAGTAAATATTTAACAAAAATTCCTAAGAATGGCAATTTATTAAGAAGTTTACAAAGTTATTTTGTCCTGAATAAATATCTTTAAGCTCTGAAGCATCGATCACAGCACATTGCTGACCCCATAAAGAGAAAAGCTGAATGGCGTTATATTGAAAAGTGTACAAAGTTATTTTTTCTGAATAAATGTCTTTAAGCTGTGAAGCATCCATCACAACACAATGCTGACCCTGTAAAGAGAAAACATGAACGAAAGTACTGTTTATTTTAGCGTGAAAAGTAAAGTAAAGTGTGCCAAGAGTTGCAGGCAAATAATTTGTACGGTACCTTAATCTTCCTTTTCAGTAGAGTTGCACTGAATGACAGCATGCATTTTCAAATTCTCGAACTTGAAGGACCTCCAATTGTCACTAAGAGTGGCCTTGTATTTGGAGAAACTCCTTTCTACATCGCAAGATATCACAGGGGCATACTTAAAACAAGTCAGATCACTTGCGTCAAGTTCTAATTCACTGTTGTCAAATTCAACTTCTTTGCCACAAAGAATGTCAGAAATTGTACACAGTGTTGAATATCCAGGATTTCGTTGCAGCACATTTTGTAATTTTGCACTAATTTTCACAGCAACTTCGCCCTATGCTTGATGTAGTTCACTTTCAACTTTCTTAACAATTTGTAATGCATTGCACAGTTGCATGCCCACAGCTTCAAGTCTAATGATGGATTTTGATATCACACTGAAATTTGATTTTATGTACGCTAGATTTCTTGACGTGGTTGATGAAAACAAATTTTGTACAGTTTGAACTGAAGATGAATCATCTCTGTCAAACTTCATGAAGATATTTTCAATCACACTGTAGTGTGTGCAATAATAATCTGCAGCATCGAGCCAAGTCCCCCATCATGTTAGAATAGGCTTAGGGGGAAGGGGTAGTGATGGAGCCTCTTCTTTAAACTTCTGCAATCGAAGTGGAGCCTTAACAAAAATTTTCTTCCCATTTGCTATTAATTTATCTACATCAAAGTAGCTCTCTCGCACCTCTTCTGCTACCCTATGCAGAGCATGTGTGAGACACGTTGCATGAATCATTTTGGGATACAGTACCTGAAGTCCCTTTGCTGCCTTTACCATACATGGAGCGGCATCTGTTATGAAGAGGAGCACATTCTCTCATTCTACCTTATTTGGCCACAGCAAATTCATCGCATTGTCAAAAACAACAGCAATGGAAGAATTATTCACTTTTTCCAACACCTCACATGCCAATAGGAATATATCTTGAGGCTGGTCATCTTTCAGTATACCAACAACAACATTCGCTACAAATCTACCACTTACGTCGGTAGTTTCGTCGATAGACACCCATATTTTATTATTTCCGACACAGTTTCTTATTTTATTGATGGTAACATCGTAGCAGGAAGTGAGATAGTTCTTTCTTAATTTGGATTTGGTCGGAATGGGATGAGTTGTATATTTTTCGAGGAAGTTTCGGAAACTAGGTGTATCTACTTTATGTAATGGATATTTGATGAAACCATCACAGTACAAAGATCCTTTGAAAACTCGGAGGCATTTCCTGATTTCGGTGAACTGGAGGATGACTTTTCAAACAACAATCACTGTCTACTTTCCGTGGTAATTTCTGTGTTTACACAGCTTCTATGTTTAGCTGTATGGCAGTGTTGTTGCACCATAAAACGTTTGTCTGCCGTAACTTTCACTTCACACATTTTGCAAAATAAAATTTCTCCGTCAGTACTAAAATATTTGTCACCAAACTCTTTAATAAAACCACGCAACTTCACGCTATAAGAGCACTTGACTTTAGGCATCTTGAAACTATACTGAACAACTGAAGTTATGAATACAGTACTGTATTGGACGGGTTTTGGGGAGAGGGTAGAAATTTACCGCTTTGTGGATGGAAAAATGTTTCACCAATATGCAAGAAACAAACTGGACTTCAGGTATCACTGCAGTGGAGGAGAAAAAGAGACACAGACAGACAGACAGAAAGAAGCAGAGGTGGCAATTTTTCTTTTCAAAGTGGTTGATTCTATGCCAGGTCAAGAACCGTTACCCTTCACACTGTACAGTATTCCTTCGAATCCCGTTACACAAGGCCAAATATTTCTAAGAAATGAAGTTCCAAATAACATCGTTGCCAATACTTGCAAATATATTTCTGAGCAATAAGTGAAACTCGCCTAAAATATGACCAAAAATATGATTTTGTATCACTTCGGGCCCAAATATGACCTAAAGCTAAAATATGGTTCAAATATGCATTTATATGACCAATAAAAACCGTATTTCCATATTAAAAAGAGTCAGAAATGCGTTTATATTTCATTATACATGTGAAAAGTTGCCAGGATAAAAATATCACATGTCATAGAAATCCGAGCCCTAGTTATAAATAAGTTTTGATAGTTTTTGCTGTTATACTTAACTGTGTTACTTACACAGCTCATATAGATGTTGATGTAGTGTTATTAGATACAACTTATCTGTAGTATGTAACAATTATATTATTATATATTATTTGTGTACATTAGTTTACTTTTTATACTTACCTCTGTCATAGTGACTTGTAGATTTTTCCACGCTGTTGGGCTGGTTATGTTGTTGCTTTGCTTGTGCATGTAGAGATTATGAGCATTCTATGCAACTAGCTCAGCTTATTAAGAAAAGGACTATGCGTGTGTGTTGCAATCTGGTGCAAAGTTTGTATAAGGCCCCGAATATTGGGTTGTGTCAATGTGTGTCATTCATATGTAGGTTATCTTTACTGGTTCTATAAATGCGATCATTCTCTAGGGTATTCAAGTGTTTGCCTTTCTTTCCTGTTTTTATAATATTGTAATGTGAATGGAAAGAGCGTTGCTGGGTAACAGACCAGTAAACATACACGATACATGCTGGCAACAATGGAACGAGGTTATGCAACCTGCTTTAGGCAATGGTTCAGTAAACAGACTTCCACGCAGGCGCAATGATGTCACACAGTAATAGTGGTAGCTATCATATAACTGGCTTTCCATGGAGTCCATGCCATGACCATTGCTATGCAAGCACTGGGTAAACATGTTCCAATAATATAGGCAGTTTTCAGCATGGTCAGTGCAGAAGCTATATAACAACAGTTTCAGACAGAACAGATTTTAGTATTTGGGAGTACTGGGGACTATTTGAGACTGTTTAAGTGAGAGTGACAGCCGCAGGAAGTTCGTTGTGTGAAGACTTGGTGTGTGATTGGAAGACTTAAATTATATGTAATATTAGGAGTGATTTGAAGCGCTAGTTTCTGTGTTCAGATCATTACCAAGAGAGGACTAGTGTATGTGTAACAGTGAATTATGAGGTGTATGTAAATCAGCGATAGCACTGTATTTAAGAGTAATTAAGAGAGAGTGTGTAACCAAGCTGCTAATAAATCCAATCATCCGAACTAGAACCCGCCATTTTGTCACCCATACCCCCCCTACACATGACAATATCCATACTAATCATTATGGTTTCATATGTGTGCAACATGTTTAGTATGTTGTTTGAATATACAGAAATGCTATTCTTGTATCCGATGGCATGAATGTATTCTTTATATGTAATATTAAACATTCTTCTTGTTTATCCGACATACTTTAGTGGATAGTCTAGGCATTGCATATGGTAAATGCTGCTTCTGTTATATTTATCTATTTGTGTATGGGGATTTACTACGTTTTGTATTGTGTTTCATGTGTGGAAGGCTATTTCTATTTGTGTGTTGTGAAAGAGTTTGGTGATTATTCTTACCTCTTTGCCACTGTATGTAAAGGTGACCGATTTTGTTTTGTGGCGCTAAGAATTAGTGCGTATATTTTGTTTCTGTGGGAGAGTGGGTTTTTAAACCAGGTTTGTGTTATATTTGTTGTTACGTTTTTGATAGTGTTTAATTCTGTTTCTTTTACTCATTTAGTTATTGGATACATGTGTAATCTATTTAGTGGGTAATTAGTATTTGATAATTTATGTTCATATGGATGACATGTGCTGTTAGGTATTATAATATCAGTTTGTGTGGGTTTCTTATAAATTGGAAATTTCAGATTTTTGTCTTTGCAATGTTTTGTAAGATCTAAAATACTGATGGACTCATGTAATTCTTTTTCTATAGTGAATTTTATAGGAGGCTCTAGTTTGTTCAATTCAATGAGTGTGTGTTTGTTTTGGACATATATCATTGATGTATCTAAAGTAACCAATTATTTGTTCCATGTGTTGTATATACATTTCAGCTAGTACTGCTGATGTTGGGGCACCCATGGTTAAGCCACTGGTTTGGTCAAACTGAACGCAGTTCTGTTCCATCACTGTAGTGTGTAAATTTCTTTTCTGATGTTCTTGTTAATTTCTGGCTTACTTTTCAGTATATTACTAATTATGTTTCTAGTATCGATTTTTGGTATATTAGTGTACATGTTTTCTGTGTCAAAAGAACATATTCACATATCTGTGTTAAGTTTGTTTTTTTGTAAGTCTGTAATTGGGTGGATGGAGTTGCATACCTTGTATGTGTATGGCAAGTATAGGTGAGTGTGTAATGTTTTTGTTAGATGTTTCGATAACTTGTACGTGGGCATATTCTGCTGCTCAACAGGAACTCATAATGTTAGATGTACTTGATTTTTTCCAGAACTGAGTCAGTAAATTAATTTTTCTGGTAAACATACTGTCTGCAACATAACCACATATTAGGTTAACAGAGGAAAGTCATGAAACATGCTGAAAAAAATACATGGGAAAACTAAAAAAAATAAGCTCCAAAAGTTTGTGATGATGGTATATTAATACAATTATGTCTAGACACACAATAATTGTACTACAAAAGGTATCTGGATGAACTAAGACTTTATCAGCAGTAACCACAATTTTAGATTAAGAGATAGATTGTCAAGATGTAATACAGAGACATAGATCCTCCAAACTAATGATAAAACATAACATACCACCTTGAAAAATAAACCAAGGACAACCATTGACAAGACCATTGACCATAGACAACGTGCAGAGTACAAGAAATCCTGGTTACCAGTTCATCTGAGATACACAACAAATTGTGATGCATTAAGATGCCTAAAGTAGTTTACCTGCATTCTTAAGCTGAGCCAAATTCTTAACCTCATCCACTTCTAAATCATCAACATCATCAGTGGAGACGCTCTCTGATGGCGTACCAGAGGAAGAAGATAAGGGGCTCACACTCTGATCTGTTGTTGTAGCTAACGAAAGAAAATAATTTGTACATATAACATGAACAAAATATTTTGAACACCGTAAACTTACTGATAAAAACGACTGGCATAAAAATAAATCTACCAAGTGTTTCTCAAATGTAATTTATGAGTTCATTCTCATCAGTCACAAAGTACTTCCCCCAACATACTTACTGTCTGTCTTGCCATCACTAAGCAGTGATACTGGCATAAGATGACGCTGTTTCTCCTCTTGGCGTTGACGACGGCGCATTCGGATACGCTGCTTTAAGTGATTTATTTCTTCATCACTCTCATCACCAACTTCTCCCGTCTCCTCCGCAACAGAGAGCTGATGGTTACATTTCACCTACCCCAATAAAAGTAAAGCATTTCTGTACAATCATCCTATTTCGCTTTTCATCCTGTTCCCAAAATAATTTTCATATAGTAAGTCATGAGACTATATTTTAAAACCCTGATACATACTTGAAGAAAGCCATGTTGTGGGAAGTCACAATGATATAAAAAGAAATACTCTGGTTACACATAACTTCAACAAATTCCACAAGACTAAATGGCATCACTTTCCTGCAGACAGCACTCTTCAAAATCACTGCTGCAAGACCTCAAATCTTAAAAATTCACGTCATTTTTCATGGTCAAAAGTTTTACATACATTTAAGGATCTCACTGACAGGTATCACAATTACAGTCCTCCAGGACTTCAAACTTTCAGAGGAACCTAAAGGGCCTATTGCCTCAATCTTCAGTGGTGTGCGCGCATATATGTATATGAGCACACATGGGGTGGGAGGTGTCCATACATATACATCACAATGAAAATGCAATTAGCTTTAACACTGAATGATTTATTGCATCCTGAAATGACAAACTCATTTACTTAGCTCAGTTACAAATCATAAAATGTTACTTTAAACACAAGACTATTAGATTGCAGACCAGCTATAACTAGAATGATTAAGTCAAGGAGGGTCAGATGGACAAGGCATGTAGTAGGCATGGGCAAGAAGAGGAATGCATACAGGGGTTTGGCAGGAAAGCCAGGAGGAAAGAAACTACTATGAAGACATAGATGTAGGTAATATAATAATACTAAAATTTACCTCATAGAAACTAGATGGAGTGGTATTCAGTCAGTTCATTGGAAGATTCTTGGGTAGCTGAATATCTGGTGGCTTCTCAAGGACTCAGCTCCATGGCATGAGTTAGTTAGGCTCAGTCTACTGTCAGGGCAATTTGGAAGCCTTTTCATTCAGTTTTCGTTAGAAAAAAGTCCTACTTTCATGAACAAATTCTTTGCATCTGTCAGAGTTTTTCATAATGTCATTTCATTCTAATTGTAAAAATGAAGAGTTCCTTGTATGCACTTTTTCACTAAAACAATTATTTACTCCATGATGACCAGTGACAGCAAAATTTAATCACTTTCTGACTACAGAACTGTCCCACATGATCCAACAGTAACGAGTACAGTGATCATTTTCAACTCCTACACTTTTACTTCTCTACATGACAACTGCAGTCAATCTATGCAACTGACATTTATATATAAAAATCATATATTTGTATTCACTTGACTTATGCTATTCAGATTTATACTTTTGGAAATGCAATTATAGTGTAAGCAGGGGGATACTTTTACAATATATGATTACATGCAAGGCTACTCTCATGCCAAAGAAATATGGCTTAAGACTCTTGAGAAGAATATACAGAATTGGGTAAATTAAAAATTTGGGGTGGGGTGGGGGAAGTAGTGTGAGTCCCAGACATACACAAAAATGTACAGACCTGTTCAATAGCAGCAATCATAGCTTCACAAATACTGAAGTGGGCATTTTCTCGATCCAATTCAGCTGAAGGCCGTGAGAACTGTCCTGATGACAGAAAGCTTGTCAGACTTTGGCCCTCTGTTGGTCGAGGAAAGAAACCTATTGCCATAGGGAGAACTCCTCCACCTCCACTTTCAATAAAACTTTTTTTCTGCAGTTTCAAATGGCCACTTTTGTGGTCCACTGTCTCGTCACTTAGCCATTCACCCGCATATTCTGGCGCAGATCCAACAACCATTGTTTTTTTCCTTCTGGGATTCTCATCTTGTTTTTCTTTACCAATTATGGCACATGAAGAATCTTGTGTCTCAATACACAAGCCATCAGCTTCATCCCACGGCTGAACTGAAAGCTTCAGATCTGAAGGGCGTATAGATGGCCTATCAAGCTCTGGCCCAATCATCACAATAGAAGGCTGACTTTCATCAGTTGGTTTATTTGTTTCTGGATTAAGGGTGCCAGAGGTGTCAGTATTAGGCTCAGAATTTGCACAATTTGATGTGGCATGTTTCTGATTTGCTTTTACTCCAGACTCATCTTTCAGTCTGAGTGGCCTTTTAACAGTGCCAAGTATTGATAAATTTCTGAGCGGTATAGGTTTCCAATCCCTGTTACACTTTTGCAGGTTAAATGTTCGTTGTTCAGTTGCACTAGGTGGAGTTTCTAAATGAACTTCTGATGAATAATCAATCTGTAACACACTCGGAGACAACTCAGAGGATTTTGCAGCTGGTGAATTTCTAGACTGAGACTTCAAGTCTTTGCCTTTGAAATGCTGTGGTGGAAAATATTTCCGGTAAGAAAATTCGGCTGAATTGTGGATTAATTTAGCTGGGGACGAAGGAAGAGTCTGACTGCCAGTTCTTAGCCAAGATAATTGTGAACATCTCTGTGGCACACTGCTGGAAGATACAGGAAATTCCTGTACATCTAATGTTACACTTCTTTCTCTAGATGTATTTCCAGAATTTGAACCTGTAAGATCTGGTAAACTAGACCAGGACCTTAAATCACCAGTGACTGATGAGTCTGTTATTATAACACCTGCACTTCCTACCTGCAAAGTCCTACATTTTATATTTTTTGAAACATCATCACTCACAGATTTAAATGAACCTGGATTCTCTTTGCACAAAGTCTTATCGTCAGTGAAATCATCATCCTGCAATTCTGCAACATCTTCTCTTTCAACTCTTTCAATATTCTCACTTGCCAGCACTGCACTTGATGAACAAGCATTAGTCACTACTTTCTGTTGTGATCCTTCTGATGACTGTTTAAGAAGCTTGAAATGAACACTCTTATTCCTTCCATTCCGCCAAATGCTGTATTGTGTTTCAGGAAATGATGAATATCTTCTATGAGTTTTGTGAAATACTTTGAAGTTCCATGTACCAAGATACTGCAAAAAAATTAGACCAAATAAATAAGTGCTGAGTGTGCAAAGCTGAATGACTAAAATTAAACTTCAAAGCTTGTGTTGATTTTAGAGACATATTATTAATAAGACAAAGGTTTCAATAAACCTAAATATGTACTCAACACAGTGCAATAGCTTCCATACAACAGCACTCAATCATGTACATAGCACAATCCATTTTTTCATAGGTGGGTATACTGGGAATATTGGTCTATACTGACATATATGAAACTCGTATGCACTTCATGGTGACTAAGAAAACTTTTGCATTTTTCTCATACTAATTTTCAATCATTTCACAGTCATGCATTTACATCGGGAAGCAACCCTGTCAGCTGGATTTATTCACAACATTAAAACCAGTTAATGGGAAGTTTTCTTAATGGACTTGGTGACACTTATCATTAAGTAGTTCTAAGAGATAAGCAACAGATGGTTGTAGATTTGGTTTCAACTGCTTGACAATAAGATATCTAAGAAGAAAAGCAGGGCATTTTAAAAATTTGCTTGGCAGATAATTGTGCCATGATTTGTTAGAGCGCATAGTGAAGACATAATCAGACTGTGCAACAACTAGAATAAGACTATGAGGGACAGAAAAAAAATGTCAAATTGCAGTGGAGTAAAGAAAACACACTTAATATTGTGGCATGTAGACTCATTGCTAGGCAATGACCGTGAAATAAGCAATTATACAACAGCCACTGCTAGGTAACGGCTCAGCCAAAGACAAGAATGCAACAGTTCCATGATATAACAATAATAGAAAGCAGTGTTTCCTATGTGGTCCATGCTGAGATGTTATAAGCAGGGCACTTAGTGGAGTCAGTTGGTGAGTGAGTTAGATAACCAATGGGGTTCATTCCTTGTGAGCCACTGCTGTGAGAAGCTGGTAACTGAGGCCAGGAACAGTTCGGAAACCCAGAAAAAAGGGGAAAGTCCACCACTGGAAGCCGTTACCAGAGCACTGGGGAAGAAACAGCAAGCTGAGAAGACTTATGTGTCTGTTCTAGCAAAATGTGAAGTGTGTGAATTCGTGAAACAGTTATAATTACTTGTTGTCACAGATCTGTAAGAGTTCAATAAATCCAATTACCAATCCAAACACTGTCTATAGCCACTAAAAATGTGGAAATATTGTATACTAAAAACCACAATCAGGACAATATTAAATTATGCTTAACTTCATACAAATACATACCAAACAGGGATCTATTTCTGTGAGTAGAGATGGCTGATTTTGCTCCACAGCTCTCAAACAAATGAGGGTTGCTTCTGCATATTTCTCTTGGCACAAGTATGCATACTTCTCAAAACATGAGAGAAGATGTTCTCGGTCAGACAGAAGCCAGGACAGTTTCTGAGACAATGCATGACCTTCCAAACTGAAAATAAAGAAATTAAATGTTCCTCTCTCCTCATAGCAGCAGCAACAACAACAACAACAACAATATGAATGTCAGGTCGAAGAGGCAGTACTGTTGCTTCACATTTTCGTGGTCACAGATTCAAATCTTGGCTGGTTTATTGATTATTCTTCCTGACCTTTTATAGTTTCCTCTATATCTCCATGCAAATGCCAAGAGAGTACCTCAAATTACGCCACAATCGCTTCCTTCCATACTCTTTCCAGTCCGTGAGGCACCAATTATTCTGTTATTTGAAGCAATATAGTTTAAGTTAGTAACTGACACCACAAATAAGCAGAAATTCATAAGTAAAAATGTTATTACTTACCAGTCACACTTGGAGTAAAACTACGATCATAACTAAAGAGATCCAGCCTCTCACAGGCATATTTCAGTACTTCCAGCTCAAAAGCAGTTACTACAGCTTGAAGTAGATGCATTCTCAAGTCTACTGTAAGCATGCTTTATGCTCCAAAAATTACAGACCTATAGATGTTAAAGTTTTTCTCTGTCTTCAATTCATGCTGCACCAACTCAGGTTTGGTGAGAGAAGCATATCAGTCAAAAGAAAGCAGAGCAAACTACTGTCATTACTCCATGCCATCTTCTAATTATAAAGTTTAAGTTAAAACCTAATAAACTGTGCCAGGGAACCGAAATTCATACAAAGATTAATATGTAGTCACACGAGTCTCAAACTAAAAATGTGCATTTCCATAAATCTTCAGGTTTCTCCTTCCTATACTTTCTTTCCCAATCCCTTCCTTCTAGGCTTATCCCTTCTTCCTCCTATATTCTTTTTCTGCAGTGAAAAAGGAGCTATTTTAAGAGCCACTGATTGCCATTGGTTTTCCCACAGCTCCAGTCCAAGTTCCTCCTTCCCAATATTATATACTGTCTTCCACACTCTGTTCATTTCTTCTACCCTGAAGATGAAGGCTGATGGTTCTTCCAAAATGCTGGTACCCATCTACCACATTGCATACATCCCAGAACAATGTAATCTTCAACAGTTTCTTTATATTGACAAAGACATAATGATCATCTGCAACCCTTATAAATGCTAGTTTCCACTACAATCAACTACATGCTAATTTTGCCAATTTTCCTACAATAAGCCCTTCTCACATTATGCTGTGCTGATAATGACAATGATGAATGTGCTGCCTCTGACTTCTCCGGCTCACCCCCTTCTTTGGTTGTTACTGACTTACCTGGTTCAGGTGAGGTATCTCATGGGTAAGTGCATAGAAAATGGGCATTTGGATACAATGATTAGCCAGTTTCTCTTCAATTCTGATGAGCTCTTAACAGGTCAACTTTGCAACAGTGTAATGTTTTGGAAAGAGGTGAAGATAGTGTGAAGAATGAAGGCAATTAATGCACAAATTAAATGTCTATAAACACTTGAATTAATGAATCACACACAATGGGTTTATTAGTCTACACTTATAATACTGTAGCACATAGACCCATTGCTGGGCAATAACCTCGAGATAAGCTAATATACAAGAGCTATTACTGAGTAACAGCTTCACAAACATGTTCCCATGAAAACCGCTGAACTACAACAATGAGGAGCGGTGTTGTCTGTGCAGTCTGTGCCGAGATGTTATAGGTTGGACAATTTGGGAGCTGCAGTTATTCAGTCAATGAAGAGAAAAGTAGAAGAGTGGTGCAAGATGGCCAGCAGCCTGGGAGTTAGTCAGCTGGAGCAATGAATCATTTGTGGGATATTTGCCAGCTGGTAAGGGCATAAGCAGAGGACACTGTTAGGCCAGGCACACACCAAGGAAACTGCCAACTGCGATTCCAAGAAGTGTTATCAGCCAGAGTTGAACATGTTAGTAAATGGCACAGCACAAATTGAGGAAACTGCAACACAACTCACGGGAAGACTAAGAAACTCAATTTCTAGGCAACGGAGCATGCCAGTCTTCACAACGATAGAGTTGCTGAGAGTTGCGGCATGGATTCCTAGAAATCATGTGTTCTGTAACGTGCATCAGTGATTCATTTGTTTGTTAAGATGGTATGAAGAGTTGAAAAAGCTGCTAATTTGTTCTTGTGCTGTTAACTGAGCAAGAGCGTGGCATATATGATAAACACAGCTCAGACTATGCCACACGGGAGAAAACCAGATTTGACTTGGGAATCTTGAAGGAATCTGGGATGTGTGTGTGTGTGTGTATATATATATATATATATATATAAATAACCAAAACTTATAATAGGACCAAAATACAGAATGTATGCTGTATGTATGTATGCAGAATTTGTATATCAATAAAAAGATAAACCTTCCTTACCTCAGAGTAATCAGCAGTTTTTCTTCAACTGACACGCTCACCCACTCATGCAGCTGATTCCTTCTTGCCAATTATGCAGCTATGCAAGAGCTTCCCAGAATTTAATGGAACCTGAAGGTTTATTACTGTGTTCACAAGAGCTCTCTGCTGGTCTCTATCCTGAGCCAGATCAATCCAATCAATACCATCCCATCATATCTCTCTAAGATCAATTTTAATATTGTCCACCACCTACACCTTTGTCTTCCCAGTGGTCTCTTTCCATCTGACTTTCCAACCAATCTCCTATATACATTCCTGTTTCCTCCATTCATGCTATATGCCCTGCCCATCTCATCCTCCTTGACTTGATCATTCTAATTATACTTGGAGAATAGTACAAGTTATGAAGCTCCTCATTATGCAGCCTTCTCCAACCTCCCGTCACTTCATCTTACTTTGGTCCAAATATTCTCCTCAACACCCTGTGTTGGTGTGACATCATCATTCTGAATGTTCATGCACCAACAGAAGATAAAATTAGCGATATAAAGGACAGGTTCTATGAAGAACTAGAACATGTATTTGATATATTCCTGAAGTACCATATGAAAATTTTGTTAGGAGATTTCAATGCCAAAGTAAGGAGGGAAGACATTTTCAAACCAACGATTGAGAAGGATAGTTTCTGCCAAGGAGAGTCTAGGTTATTGTGAACTGGAGAACGATAAGCCATGGTTCAATGAAGGATGTTTAAAATTATTAGACCAAAGAAAACAAAACCAAATTGCAGTGGTTACAGGATCTAAGCAAAATAAATGGGGATAACCTCAACAATATAAAACGTGAAAGCAGCAGGCATTTCAGGAATAAAAAGAGGGAATATCTGAAAGACAAAATTGATGAGCTTGCGATGAACAGTAAGAACAATAACATTAAGCGACCTGTATAGAGGAACAAATGACTTTGAGTGGGGTTACCAGCCTAGAAGTAACTTAATGAAGGATGAAAATGGTGATCTGCTTGCAGATTCCCACAACATTTTGAACAGGCGGAAGAACTACTTCTCTGTTATTGAATGTACATAAGGTCAGTGATGTTAGGCAGATAGAAATACATACAGCTGAGCTGTCAGTACCGGATCCTAGCCCTTTTGAGGTTGAAACTGCTATTGCAAAATTGAAAAGGTATAAATAACCTGGCAGTGATAAAATTCCAGCAGAACTTATTCACGCAGGAGGTGAAATATTGCGTTCTAAGATCCACAAGCTAATTAAGTCTATTTGGCATAAGGAAAAATTGTGTCTATTATTGTACCAGTTCACAAGAAAAACTGACTGTAGAAATTAGTGGGGGATATCACTGCTATCAACTTCATACAAAATTTTATCCAATATTCTTCTCTCAAGGTTAAATCCATATATAGGTGAAATTATTGGGGATCATCAGTGTGGGTTTCGACATAACAGATGAACTACTGATGAGCTCTTTTTGCACACTTCAGAAAACTAGAGAAATTGGGAACAGAATAAGGGTATATCAGCTATTCATACACTTCAAGAAAGCCTATGATTCAGTTAGGAGGGAAGTATTGTACAATATTCTCATAGAGTTAGGGATACCCATGAAACTAGTTAGGTTCATTAAAAGGTGTTTAAATGAAACATATAGTAAAGTCTGTATATGTAAACATTTGTCTGATAATTTCCCTATTCTGAATGACCTAAAACAAGGAGATGCTTTATCGCCACTGCTCATTCTGTAAAATGATTTGAACAGTTCTTTACCCTGATTAAATCCTTTCAAAACAATATAAACACCTGAGTTTAAATTGTGGCGAAAGAACGGGTGCACCCAATGTTTCCTTTCCTCTCCTCTTCTCCTCTTACGCCGTCTGAACCACCACCATATCATTACAGGAACAATATGATCTGACATTGCAGAAGAGAAGTGCACGAAATTGGTGGGCAAACACACCCACTTCAGTTGGTGTGAGCAACTAATCGAACGTAAGTTTCCTCACTGTGTGCCTGCTAATTTGGAAACCAGTTGCTTGCTTGAAATCGGTGATATTTCTCATAAATCGCTGTTGCATTGCAGTTGCCAGTTTCCGTGGTGTGCGCCTGGTTTTAGAATCTGTTACCAAGATATAAACTAGTGAAACAACTAGTGAAGACATAAATGACTTCATGTGAGCTGCAGTTACAGTGTTCTTTATAGAGTGTGTAAACCAGTGAGGCTGCTGTAGTTACTTGTAGTCATGAGTTGTGTGTATAAGTGATCAATAAATCCAATCACCAATCCAAACCCATCTGTAAATACTCAAAACTGTGGCAATACCAACACTCTTTAGTTAATCTGAAATCTGTGACTTTGTAGGTTATAACACAGAGTCATGGATGGAATTAGTTGAATAATTTAGATGATGATTTTGATGCTGTCCTGAACTTTTACAGTGTTGTTTGAAAGCTTAGCATAGGGTTCCTTTATGATTGCCAAGAGTCTGTCTAACTTGGATTTTTGTTAAACTCACTTACTTATTCACTTATTAACTTTCTGGAAGTTTCTTTAATGACCTATGAACTTCCTCAACAATGTACTCCCTCTTCTTACTAAATAACTAAGTGTCTGTCTCTGAGCCCTTACTGGAAAACTGATTCAAATCTTACATGATTAGGTAACTGACTA